AATTTTGAGGCACCTTTACCCTGTTTCACTTGAACATAACATTTGTATATTTTTCTACGGCCAGGAAAGGTCATCTTTTCATCTTCCTCAGTGACATTGGTAATCTGACACCTAATAAAAGCTTTTCACATTTCGATGCGACTGTTTTAACCAATAATGAAATATTACGTCCAACACACGTTTATGTATTTTGTACGAGGCGATGCGGTTAAGTTATAATCCACCACTCTAATCCATTTCTTCTTAGTTATTAGTTCAAAACATACATGTACTACTTTCTCGATATATCGAAATTAAAATATATATGTATGACTCCATTTCGCCTGTTCCCTACAACTCAGTGACGTAGCGTCGTTTGAAAAGGGGGTGAGGGGCAGCCAGAATTAAACTTCAATTAACCATTAAAAAAAAAAAAAAAAAAAAAAAAAAAAAAAAAAACGTGGGGATTGTCCAAACTCGAATCCAATTTCGCCGTTGGGGGGTGTTGATTTAGATCAGACTTTTTGCAGTATCATTTTTTAAATCAAGCGTAATACACTGCATTTTGTCCTATTGTGCACTAATTTTACTATGCAGCAACAAAAAGTGGGGGTGGGGGGGGGGCAACCGGACTTTCAATGAACCCCCCTTCCCCTATGCTACTAGCGTGCAACTGTAATATAGACAGTATTTTTCTTTCAATGCAGAAATATTTGAGTTTGTTTATTAATTTCTTTCCTTAGAGTATTTCGATTTCAACGGAAAATTAATAAATGTCCAGATATGTGGGATATTTAGATACATGTACATTTATCAGAGTTGCAGATTTCAACGTAAAACAAGACTTATTTACTTCATGTCATGAATTCAGTAGTCAGTGACATATATCTCACGCTCCTTAAAGTTTTGCACGAACGTCCTTTTTTCTGCAATAAACATCATCAGTGCTAAAATTTATTTTTTCATCATTCGTAAATTTAGACTTCTTTGTTGTCTAGGGTTTGAAGTGGTTTATGATTTTAAACATTTTCATAAAATTTGGAAATTACACCCATAACCACTTGTTATCATACTTTTTGCTCTATCATTAATTCTCAAAAGATGTCGCCATATCTGACATTAGTCAGAAATTCGTACGTCTTTTCGCTAGCTGCAAAACAATAGCTCTCTTAAGAAAATATTTTGACAGAGAACTACAGTTCCACTCACTGAAAAAAAAAACTGTATATTTATTGCACACAAAAAGAGCGCTGTTTCTTTAATTTATTTCTCCATGTTTTAAAATGTCAGCTCAAAATATTACGAACTGTGTGTTCCTAGCATATTGTTTCACTGTTTTCACAATAAAACATCCCTTATAATTGTTGTTAATAGGCCTCCTGGCCCTGATATTGAGATCATCGAAAATTTCGTTTATTTATACTGCCATTTTGGTTTGAAAGATATTCCGTCCGACACACTTCGTGCAGATGTCAACTACAAGAGTACCTTATAGAGGATTAAGGTATTTTTTTTTTATAAATCTATCTTTTTCGCCATTGAGGTAAGAATTTGGAAGAATTAATCCAGAACTAAGCGCAGAACTAAGCGCAACTTTTTGTGCGCAATAAATATACAGTTTTTACCATGGGTGGCACTGTAGCTCTCCGTTCTGCCGGTTTTTTCGGAAAGCTACACTTCTTCAGCTATCTTTTCGCTTAATCTATAGTGGGTTTTTTTCTGGTTTATAAATATCCCCATTCATAAATATCACTGTCGATGTAATATGTTGATATTTCTTCAAAATTGGGTATAATGTTTTCGGAAAAAAGTGTACAATAGCTGTATATAATTCCTAAACATATTGCAATTCAGTTTCGAGTGGGATTTCATTCATTCATTTCATCGGAACAATTTTAAAAAATTGAAACATGTATTTATTGGATCATTTTAAATTAGTTTTTGAAACAAAATTTATTTTTAGCAAAATTTTCGTGGCACCCCCATCCACCGTAACGTATTTTTCCTTAGCATATTCTAGATCTCTTACTGTTGATTTCGTATAAAATTATTTATTGTTGATGTAGAAGGTTTAATTGGATCTCCCATGTTACCGGAATATATATCCAGCTAAAGAGGGGTTATGTTTTTTAACTTGAACTTTAACCGGTTGTCTTTTTATTCGGAGATTTGTTTTGGCTTGTCTACTTATCCCCCCCCCCCCCTTTTTACACACATTTTAAAATCGAAAGTTCACAGTGGGCTGGCTATCAGGATACATCAGTATGATACACTGTGGATTAAAATCAAAATGCTTAAATTATGGTATATATTTTTCAGAAAAAAAGCGCTTATTAGAACGGTAATACTTTAAGTGCATAGACCTCTCGCTCGCTCTTTCTCTCTCTCTCTCTGGAAAAAAAGTACAAGGACGTGTATGGAATAAACCTTTTGATATTAAGACTTCTTCACATGAATTCAAATTTAAGCATTTGGAAATTTCTCAAAAACAAATATGCAGCATCTTTAATTTAGTCATGAATAGACATCGTTTTAATCACTGTTCCTGGCAAGGTGCATGTCCAATGTCGCGTATCAATCAACATCAAGTTAAATACATGTACTTAAACAGAATTGTGAATAAATTCACGTATTATATAGTAATAATATCATACAATATATACCTATTAAAAATGTCCGCATCAAATTTCAAATTTTTGTTGCACTTTGAAAGCTAATTTTATTTCTGGATCACGAAACGCAGTTTACAATTTTTTTTACTTCCGTTTTTACAATACCGCGACTTTGACGTCGTTTTCTGAGCATTGTGACGTCAAAAGATAAGGGCCCTTTTCTCATGACGGCAGTCATATCTAATATGTTTAAAATCTAAAGTAAACGATATCTTAGGTATTTAATACTTATATCATTGTTCAAATATTCAACTATTTTTCAAAGTGCTAATTGGAGGTCTTTGATTTCAAATTGCTTAATTAGGAATACATATCTTTTCAAACTTGCTTTCACTGGGCAAGATGACAAGTATCATTTTTAACCATCAGCCTTCCTTCACTAAAACGATTAATCCAATCATTAATTGAATTTATAGGAACTAATTTATCTCAATAAACTGTCTACAAATTATTATATGATACTGCAGAGGGATTTCTAAGATATACAATAAATTGTACAGTCGTTTGTTGAATCAGTTGGACTGAGACAACCATTTTTCGTCACAAGTGACCTAAATAGTGACGTCATTTTCACATTGTGACGTCACAAACAAGGAGAGAAACTTTATTCAGCATAAGCTATTTATAGAACTTGTGTATGGCTATATGTGTACTGAATTTCATTCTAATCTGAATTGTGGTTTTCTAGATATAGAGATAGTTTGCGAACTTTTTGATCACCCCTCGTATATTGAAATCAGACCAAAACTGTAGGAGGAGTAGCATTTTAAAAGTATTTCATAGAAATTTCTATTTTTAGTAACCATGGCAACACTGTTCATCGAAATCATAAACCGATACACAGAATTATGTATCTTTGTGTAGTCTACTTGTGTGCCAAGTTATATTGATATCAGACCAAAACTGTAGGAGGAGTAGCGTTTTGAAAAATTGTTTACAGACAGACAGACGGACGGACGATGGACGCATTACTATCGCATAAGCTCTAAGTAAGTAAAGTTTGAATGTACATTGTTATTTACAAAGTTGTACATATCGAAAACAATAATAATACACACACAATACCTATTGTCATTGTTACTTGATCAGTACGTTCTTGTTCCTGTTGACAAAGCAGGTAACAACCTTGTCTTCGTTTGTAAGGCTCATTATATAAATTGTATTCTAGAAGAACTTGGATTTAAATCTACAAGTAATCCTACTTATACTCATACTTCCCTTTCTAAGGAAGAAATTCTTCAAAATCATGTGTCAGTTTTGAATATTTTTAATATTCCACAGAGCCAAAATGAATTTGAACTACCTTATATATATTGGATTCCGAAACTTCACAAGAATCCTTACAAAGATACATTGCAGGTTCCAGTTAATGTTCAACCAAGCCTCTTCCGCTCTCATGCGTGAAAAGAAGAAACACTTGTTGTGGCCTTCAACTCGACTTTCAGATATATCGATGACGTATTGTCAATCATCAATGGTGATTTCCATTCCTACGTCGATATGATATATCCAGGAGAGCTTGAGATTAAAGACACGACAGAGTCTGACACATCTGTTTCATACTTGGATATTTTACTTGAAAAGGACGTTAATGGTGTAACGTGTTTATCTGAACAATAGGGTTCTTTATAAGGGATATATGATTTTCCTTGTACTCTGTCTGAGTAAAAATGATTAGGAGATACAATAATTTTCCTTTACTCTTCCTGAGTATAATGATTCTGTATATAATTCAATATTATCCTATCAGAGGCTTTACCGAGGGCTATCTAATTATATGCAAGTGACTGGGTAACTTAATTCACCGCGCTTTCTAGGTAAAAGGGTTCCTATTAATATAGAGAATCAGGCGCCTCGATCTTATTAGACCTACTACCTCCTGACTCTCAAATTAATTCCCCTAATACCCTACCGCTGATGAACTTATCTATTCCTACCCTAGCCTTACGTTTTCCTGTCGTCTTCAATGTGTCTTCTTCGCCGTCTGACTGCGATTATTCGAATCTGCCAATTGCACCGACTTATATACCCTTGGAATAATCTATTTCCAAGGGGTGTCAGGTCATTCCATTCTATAGGGGTGTTATATACGTTTCTCTTACGTTTCACTACCCACGCCTCTGATATCGTGCGTCCCGCACGCCAAATCAATAAGAATCATATATATATATATATTTTTATATTTATTCACTTATATATAAATTTTTTTTTTATTACTATATATATTTTTAAAGACATATCTAGAGTAACTATCTGTTACAACATGCATAGCAATATAGTAAACATGTGGATCCCGTCTAGACCCCAATTACATCTACATATACTTGTGAACTGTACACAATAAAGCAGTTAATCATTCCAGATGTCCTCTTCCAATCGCTCGACTACTTCACCATCCTTTTGAAATTTTCTCGTGACTCTGATAATTTTCTGGTGACTCTTTTCTGCCTTGATTGCATCAGTTTGCGTTTCAACATCAACTTTCTGTACTTTCCTCTGACAGCAAACACAGTGTTGTTCATCAAAAGGCTCATTTTGGACATCGGAACCACTGTCGCTAGGTTCCACTACCTCTTCAGTTGTTGTAGGCAAATCTTTTGTCACGGTTTCTTGGACGCTAGCATTTCTTCGCTTAATCCCTGGTAAAACTGGAGATGTCTTCTTTCGGTACGTTCTGCCAGCTTCTAAGTCCACATCCTCAAACAGAAGTTGACCAGGATCCTTCCGCCAGTCTTCCTCATCTTCAACTCGTTTTGGTGTTTCATTCTGGTCAGTGGTTTCTTGATTTGGGTGTACTCTTTTTACATGTCGCACTAACACAATCTTTTTGCTAAAAGCTTTATCGCAATGATCACATTCAAATTTTCTCTTGTTGATATCTTCCATACCACAATTCAGGATATGTTTACCCCACTCGTCCTTGGTTGGTAAACGACTAAGGCAAATACAGCACAAAAATCCAGGTTTTCTTGGTGTAACTTTGGTCTTCGGCATTCTGTCTTACAATCTGAAATAAATACAATCATATTAAACATTGTAATCAAACTCGTATTCAGAATGCCATGCAGGCCTTTTTCTTTGTCTACGACCTGTATAAGCTAATTCTATTTCATTCAATTCTGAATTTCCTAACATTTCCATATGAGTTTCATCATTGTTAACTTCAACATCAGCACCCTGATCCTGATCTTTTGAAATGACACTTTCATTTTCATCCCTAAGGACCTGAGCCCCATAAGGTCTTATTCTATCTACATGTACAATGAGGGTATTTTCAGTGTCACCTTTGCTGATTTTGTATGTGACATCAGTGTGTTTCTCTATTATTGTATATGGACCGTACCAGAAACTCATAAGTTTTGCAGACCTCCCTACGCTTCTCTGTGGAAAGAAAACTAAAACCTTATCACCAACACTGAAACCTTTCCCGACAACATTCTGATCATGGTACTTCTTTTGCCTCAACATTGATTGTTTACTTATTTGGCGTGTGTATCTATATGCCTCTTCCAAGCTCTCACGAAGTTTCCAAACATAATCATGTACATAAGTCGGTTTCATATCACTGGGTAACTCGTACATTATATCTAGAGGTGTTGCTACCTCCCTCCCTAACATGAGCATGTTTGGACTGTAGCCTGTACTTTCATGCAAAGAGGACCGATATGCCATGAGGACATAAGGTAAGTTTTTGTCCCAGTCAGTTTGGTGGTCAGACACGTAGGCACTAAGCATGGTAGCCAAAGTTTTATTGAATCTTTCCACCATGCCATCGGACTTGGGATGGTACGCTGTGGTTCTGGTCTTCCGTATACCAAGTAGATTACAAACCTCATTGAAAAGCTTGCTTTCATATTGTCTGCCTTGGTCACTGTGTATAATTTGTGGCACACCGAACCTGGTTATGAATTGTTCCACTAAAACTTCAGCCACTGTCTGTGCTTCCATGTTCTTGAGAGGGTAAGCTTCTGTCCACTTAGTGAAGTAGTCAGAGATCACTACGACATACCTATTACCGTTTTCAGTTTCAGGAAGTGGCCCCATGATATCTGTAGCTACTCGCTCCATAGGGTTTCCAGTTTGATCCATCTGCATAAATGTCTTCCCAGCAGAACGAATCTTTCTTTTCCGACACTGAGAACATCCGGTGACATAGTTCCTAACGTCACTCTGTAATCCAGGCCAATAAAACTTTTCTCGAACTCTTGCCAATGTTTTTGCAACACTAAGGTGTCCGGCTGTACGTACATCGTGACACTGCTTAAGGATTTCTCTTCTTTCTGATAATGGGATCAACACCTGATTATAACTTTTCCTATCGGCTACCCATTTTCTAGAAAGTAAATTATCCTTCAATTCCAAGAATTTATACTGTGACCAAAGAGACTTAATAACGTAGCTTTCATTTTTGATCTGGACATATTCTGGGCGTTCTTTCTGTTCCACCCATCCCCTTACTTTCTTCAAATCAGGATCATTTTCTTGAAGACTTAGCATTGAAGATTTTTCATAAGGAACACAGTCCGAGGTTACTATCTGTACATTTGCCTCATTGTCAACATCTTCTTTATGTCCACACTGACGACATGGGTATCTACTTAAACTGTCAGCATTACTGTGTTTGGCTCCGGGTCTGTGAGTGATTTCTAGGTCATAGGTACTAAGTAGCTCGATCCATCTGGCCACTTGTCCCTGGGGATCTTTAAAACTCATTAACCATTTTAGGGCACTATGATCGGTGCGAACGATGACTTTATGACCATAAAGATAATGTCGAAAATGTTTGCATGCAAAAACAAGAGCCAGCAATTCCTTTCGGGTGACACAGTATTTTCGTTCACTCTTTGACATTGTTCTACTTGCATATGATATTACTCTAGTTTTGTCGTCTATATTCTGCGACAATACGGCGCCAAGTCCAACTTGACTGGCATCCGTATCAAGTATAAAAGGCAATGCAAAGTTTGGATGTGCCAATATCGGAGCAGTTATCAAACACTTTTTCAGTCTATCAAAGGCATTTTGACAATCAGACGTCCACTTGAACTCTCTTCCTTTTTCTGTTAACCGAAATAAAGGTTTTGCAATGCTAGAAAATCCATCTATAAATCTTCGGTAATAGCTGCATAGGCCTATAAAAGATCGTACTTCACTGACATCACTTGGTAACGGCCACTGTTCCACGACAGCTACTTTCTGGGGATCTGTTTGAACTCCGTCACCAGACACCTTATAGCCTAGAAACAGAACTTCCTTTTTAAACAAAGTGCATTTTGCAGCTTTAAGTTTTAGACCCGCCTACTGTAACTTTGTAAATACCTGTTCTAAGTTTTGAAGCGTTTCATCGAATGTTTTCCCAAAGATAATAATATCATCAATATATACCAAACATATATTGAAATTTAGTCCAGCCAAAACTACTTCCATGAGCCTTTCAAACGTTGCTGGGCTGTTACATAGTCCAAAAGGCATCACGGTAAACTGGAAAAGACCATTTCTAGTTACAAACGCAGTCTTCGGTTTGTCAGGCTCATTCATTTCGACTTGCCAGTAGCCTGAGTGAAGATCTAGCGTGCAAAACCACGAAGCTCCTTCAAGTCTATCAAGGGAATCATCAATGCGCGGTAAAGGGTAGGCGTCCTTTACCGTTTTACTGTTTAATGACCGATAATCCACGCAGAACCTTTTTGTGCCGTCCTTTTTCTCAACAAGAACGACCCCGGCAGCCCATGGACTGGAGGAGGGTTCTACGATGCCTTTTTCAACCATATTTTTCACTTCTTGATCAACGAACTCGGCAGCATGATGCGGTAACCTTCTGGGAGGTTGCTTGGTTGGTTTTTCTCCTTCTGTCTTGATATGATGCTTTATCAATGATGTTCTTCCAAAGTCATCTTTGCTCTTCGAAAAGATTTCACTGAACTTGATTAGAACATCTTTAACTTTAGTCGCCTGTTCTTTTGACAAATCAGTTTTCGTTTTATCAAATAAATCTTTCAAATGCTCAGGAACATTCCCTTTATCCTCTTCAGAGGTAACATTATTAACAATGCCTTCTTTTTCAGGCACAAATACTTCTCTTATTGGGGATGTCAATCCTACTACTGTGTTCTTATAGATTGTCTGAGGCTGACTAGATATGTTCATAAGTCTCACTGCCACTTTCTCAGATGAATGGACAAGCGATCTGGCCACCAAAGCTCTTCCACTATCCTGAAACTTAGCCAAGGGTTCAATCAACAAAGGTATCTGTGGAAGTTTTGGTATGTCCAACACTTGACCCGAACACACCATTTCGCTTTTGGGAGGAATAGATATGGTTTCACATAGACTGACGCGAAAGCAACCGATATTTCCTTGGAGTTCTAATTCATGTTCTACTCCATGAACATGCATCTTGGTCTTACAAACGTCGACAAGACATTGGTTTGTTTGTAAGAAATCTAATCCTAGAATACCATCTGCTTTGATGTTAGCTATTACTGCCTGGGTTTCAAATTCTTGAGAACCAAGTTTTATGTGGAATAATCCTTTCCCTTGTACATTAAGAGGAGCACCATCAGCACCAACGATTCTCTGTGTAACTGGTGAAAGTCCAATTTTCCCGGTCTTATTTATTTTATCATACAACTGATCTGATAAAATAGTAAGAGTTGCGCCAGTGTCTAACAATAAATTACACCGAGTTCCATTTACCATCGCCTTAATAAACAAACCAGATTCTTGTATGTTTTGGTCAACTTTCAGTGAGGTTGTGCTGGAATCTATTGAACTACTCTTCTTCTGTGAATCTGTATTTTCCTTCAGGTTAGGCGAATTCTTCAAGTCTGTTTTTGGCATCTTAGATTCACCCTGACTGTTTTTTACAAAGCAATCTTTCATCATGTGACCTTTTCTTCCGCAATTGTGGCATTTAAAAGGAAACTTGCCTTGCTTGCTTAAAGAACTTGAAGTGGTGATTGTTTCTTTTGTTGAGACATTAGCAATTTTCTTTTCTTAATCTTTTAGGGAAGCCTGTATTTCATCCCTCAATTGCCTTAGTTCTTCCCTGACCATCGAGTCTTGTTGAGCATCAGGTGACACTTGGTTATTGCTTGTGTTCCTCACATATCCACCATCTCCTCTTCTCTGGCGCTCTGCTCTACAGAAGGCCTCTATTTCCACGGCAAAGCGTACAGCATCATTTAATGACTTTGGTCGTGATTGCTGAATGCGAAGTCGCATATCAAAATCAGCCAGTGCGTCTACAAATTGATCCTTCGCTATCATCTCCGTAACTTCTCTGGGTGCCGTTGGATAAGCGAGATGTGCCAATCGTCGAATGCTTTCACCAAGTTCTGGCAAAGATTCACTTGGCTTTTGACGTTTTTCTCTAAGCATAGCTCGATAGAGTTCAGTTTGATTTGCAGGTGCGAATCTTGATTCCAATGCGTCACACAGCTCCATATAGGTTCTATTTGCACCTGGTCGCATATTACCAAGGACCGTTTGAGCCTGTCCTCTTAAAGAGGCTGCAAGGTACAAACTTTTCTGTTGTGAGTTCCATGAGTTGATATCGCTACATGCTTCGAAATGGGCTTTATAATCGATCCATGATCCCGACCCATCATATGTTGCAGGTTTCATAATTGTTTTACCGTATGAATATTCCTTGGGCCGTGCATCTGAAACGTTCTTGCTCAAATCAAGAGTAGGTAGATGTCTATATACCGGTTCCTGCAATGGATTCTGGTTGTTTGACCAAGTAACCGTGGAGGAAGTTGATGACGACACCGCACACCTATTATACAAGGGAGGGGTTGGTGTCAAATGTGTCTCGGTGAAAACTGGTTGACTTATTGTACCAAAGCGTCGCAGATTATTTTCTCTATCCCTATGTAAGGTTCGATCTGTCGTTTCTCTATCTTGGTACAATGTATAACCAGGCTCCGGATATAGCATCTGTCCAAGTGCATGTCCTGTGTTGCTTGGTGTCCTGTAATCTAATTCATCTA